TGTGTGTGTGTGTGTGTGTGTTACCTGTCCTGTGGTGTTGGGGTTGGCTCCATGCTCCAGCAGAAGCTTGGTGACGTCCTCACGACCTTTATAAGCCGTCCACATCAGAGCTGTCCATCCTCCCTGAGACACAGCCACATCGTCATGTTAGCAGGTCTTCACATCACAGCTCCAGCTTGTTAAACAGTTGATGAGACATCCACAGCTGTAACACTGAATCTTAACATATTCAACTCAGACAAAAACAGTTCTGATTCATTCTAATATTTTCAGAATCCGTACAGGTAGCATGTTGGCAACTGGGCTGTGTGTCAGTTGTGTGTCAGTTGTGTGTTGTCACCATGTCTCGGTGTTCGATGTAGGCGCTGTTCTCCAGCAGCTCCTTCACCACATCCATGTGACCTTCTTTAGCTGCAGAGATCAGAGCCGACCAGCAGTCCTGAAACACACACACACACACACACACACACCATTTTACCATGGCAACGGAAGAATCACAGAGATTAGTACTGAACTGTGTCTCCTAGGAACCAGAGCAGAGGTTCAGAAGGAGCACTCGTTTCACTCACCACGTCGTCCAGGTTGACATTAGCTCCTCTCCTGATGAGCTCCTGAACAATCTCTAGACTGCCCTGCTCCGCCGCGAGCATGAGGGGTGTCTGTCCATTCTGTCCACAGAGACCGAGAGAGACACCCAGAGAGACAGACAGAACACAATCAAAATCAAAATGTAAGAAAATGTTCAGTATTACAGAAAAACCACAATAAAAACATAGAAAACTCCTAAAGTGATTCTACACGTGGACGATGGCTACATTTGATTTATTTATGGTTTGAAAGTTATGATGAAAAAAAAATCGTACGTCACTCCGTCCGTCCACCTCCTTGAAACGGTCCAAGTGAGCTTTGAGAGCTGACAGGTTCTCCTCCTCCACGTAGCTGAACAGGTTCTGGATCGCCAGCGTCGTCATCTTGATCGATGTGGTCGTGTCCATGTCTGCGATCACTCTGCTCCCTGCTGACACAAACACATCACTACAGTCACACCTCCTTTTTTCTGTGCACGTGAAGATTCAGCGAATCAAAGTCTGATGAAACAAACTGAACATGTTCAGTGCGAACGTCCTGATTGGATGAACACCACTTAAGGTGCAGGTGTGAAAGAGCCTAGAGAAGATGGAGGTCAGTGGCCAATCAGAGCTCAGCTTCAGGGTGCAGCTCCATCCTGATGCACCAATAAGAGGTGCTGCTGTTACCATGGAAACAACCTCCTGCTGAAGTCTGCTTGATGCTTTGTCCGTCAGAAAATATATATA